GGCAAATGCAGGTCTTCAAATGCCAGTCTGAGACCCATTTTGGTTTTGCGGTTCGCGCTGCGCTGTGAGTTTTCGTGTTCCCTGTACGACGTTTTGGGGGAACAAACCAGACGTACGATCCCACATGCGGTTCAAAACTTGTGGGACATCTACTTTGTTCAACTCCTGTTTTTAGGAAAGCCAGACATACACACTGGATAGTGGTCTGCAAGCAATGCAAACCTCTTGGGAGGCGGCCTCGCGTTTTCTCCGGTGGATTTGGATGTGAGTCCTTTTGTGTGCAGAGTTTTGGACTCGAGCGACGTCGAATGGAAGTGGCCTGAGCCACCGAGCCACCCCAACTTCCCTGGCTTCCCACACTCCGAATTGGACTGCAGCTGAGATGGCGGCAAAGGGTTCAGCCTTTCGAACACTCAAGCCGGCCTGGCCCTTTCGAAAACGCCATCCAAGAGGTTGAACTCCAAAAGGTTGAACTTCCGCTTTGCTAGCAGATGCTGAGATTTGAGAGACCCTGCAAGTCGGTGGCTTTCTTGGTGCGGTGTATAGCTCCAAGTGTCATGAATAGAGAAGCGGTGCCCCTGCTCTGACATGCACCTTTTCTGCCAGATTGCGATCAGTTCAATTTCCTAAAAGGACGCAAAGAGAGCTGCTTCGTTTGCTTTCCTTTGGGGGGACGCTTAATTTACTGCTCTGGTTTCTCCTTTGAGCTTCGAAATGGCCAAGCGCCAAGGGTGCAATTTGATTTTGTTTGAATCTTTCATGTGCCAACATCCCTTTATTTGTACTGCCTTGCAACCCTGAAATCCACACTTAGCAGCATTGTCAGGGAACCCTGGGATGACCACTGGAAAGGGTCTTTCCCATGGTTTCCAAGGACGAGACCCGTTGCAAATCTGTAGCCCTAGTTACTGAGTTGGGAAGCCCAGGGGAGAACAAGGGCCCTTTGCTTCGGGGCGTTCGGGCCACCAGTTTGGGTTTGTCGACGTGTTTTGCAACTGCACTCATCGTTTGTTTTACAGATTCCTGGTAGATTGCTTGACAGGAAAAGAGAACTCCCCTCATTTGGGAGGGGTTCCATGTTCCATTTGGCTTGACAAACCCAGCTAGCGACAATATATTAGGATTTTTTGGCTGCCAATGCAACTCAAGAGGAGTTGCGGACTAGGCGCCAAGGAATGTTCTTTGCGCTGCGTTGTGCACCAGCACGAAACGTGATGGTGGCACACAAACAAGCGTGTTGTGTTGCATCTCCCGTTCACCGCCAAAACACTCATTAATGTCCAACCCCATATTAACCATGACTGGCAATTCAGTTTGAACTTTCAAACGTTTAGTCTCTTCAAACTTATCCAACCAACAGCGTCAGACCTTTCCCCGCTGGGAATCAACTGGAGTCTCGGGATTGCGAGCGGGGTAAAACCGCTTAATGTCATTACAAGGGTTCCGACGAATTCCTGAATCTGTTCCCGGTCTCGGACTTTCGAAACTTTTGGGAAGACCGTTTTAGTGGCAAACGAAAAGTTCGGACTCTCAAATTTGGGCTAGTCCACTCAAGTGAGAGAATTCTCGTTGGAGAATAATTGTAGCACTGCATATTTCATGTTCGCCATTTATTCTGGGCCTTGAGAGTGTCAGTGAACATTGGGTTCCAGCAACAGTCCCCTCCGGCGACAATCCCCTTCTGGTTACTTACAGGATATTGTTTCTTAAGCCTGGTTCTGCCGCGTGGTTGCCATTGTTCTTGAAAAAGACGTGAAGCTGTCGCAAAAGACGAGCCCCTTCTCAGTCTCAAATCATGCCCAGAGGCAGGAGTTGACCTCAGGACAACCGAATCTCAGTCGTTCAAAGCGAATCGACATAGTTTAATTTTTCGGGTGTCCCTTTCTCTATGTTTAGTCCATCCAAAAGGCCCAACTTTTTCTTTTTCAGGTGCTCCGGGCAGAGCAGGATGCTTAAGACATTTCTGTTTAACAGTTTCCGTTAGTTTTGTGGGGATACATAAATAAGTAGTTTTCTTCTGGCGGCAAATGGGAACGCAACCAACTCAAGATTGGTTTTCTACTGAAACACGGATGTTTTTGCTGCCCCGCTGCGGGAATTGCTCAAAGATTTCCTCTGAGACGTTCTTGGCCACTACTGTAAGTTCTTTGTGACTCAAGCCACCACGGTAGCCGGTTTTCAATTTCAGTCCAAAAAGATTGGGTGAAATAGCTCGTCCTCCATGTGATTCTGTTGGATGCATCGGGTCGCCAACACCCGCTTCTGGGACACGCACACTAAAGGTTTTGCACTTGGGGCGCGTACTTCATTACAGGTTCCTTTTGTTCCCATATCAATATTGCACACTAAGAAGTTCTATCAGAAAATGTGTAAAGGCGCGCTCTCGTGGCGCCGTGCTTTTGGGTGAGCGCCTCTCGACAGCAAACCCTTTGGTTTTGAGATGCTCTCATTTGCTCGAACATGGGAAGCGCACCCTTTGCGCACAAAAGAGCGGCTTTTGTCCGCTCTCGCTTTGGGAGCTTCGAAAGTCGAAAGCGAGCCCTTGGTTAACTTTGGCTGGACGTGTTCCAGATCTCGTGCAACACCTTCCATGGTGGACAGGGGTGTCAGGTATACATCTGCCCGTGCCAAGATGCATACGCAACAATATATGTATGTATATCTCCATACATGCATTTGTATTCTATACGCAGTTCCGCGGACGTGCTTTGCATCAAGCCTCTTTTTGGCTCTTGTGTTGCCATATGCTGACAGCAGTCTGGATGGGTGGTCCTTGTTTCCCTCTTCACGCTGTGTGGGGGCGCTTGCCAGGCGAATCACTTCGCGTTTCAACGGAAGCAAGAGCGAACGGGAAGGTTCGACCCACGCATTGCCTGGTCAGAGGGAGCTTCTTGCTCACAAGTGTCTCGCGCAGGCTGGGTGTGAATTGGGGACCCTGTGGCCATTATTTTGGAACCTATGTCCAATTACCAGACAGCCAAACGGAGCAAAAAAACTGGCGCGCACTCACTCTGGATGACAGGGGCTGTGCAAGTCAAACCGACAGCCGTCTTGATTCGCCGTTTGCCGCTTCTGACTCCTGGATTGCACGGAGCTTGCCCGCAAAAGGCCCGTTGCGCTCGCGGCCCATGTTGAGTTGCTCTCCGGCGGGGTGATAACCTCTCAGGATATTCTTGCGGCAACAGTTTGAGGAGTGTTTGAGGGTCGACAACAGGAGTTACTTGTCACAGACTGAGGATCGGTTGGAAAAGGCGTTTGAGACGGAGGGATCCGAAGCTGCTTGTTTGGTCTGGGACTTGACACCTCGTGCAAAACATGGAATCCCAACAAGCACAGTGTTCGAGAGTCACTTAAAATTGTTACGTGGGTTCTCAAAACTACTTGTGGGGGTAGTCGCCCTTTAAACAACCATTTGGAAAGAGTTTTTTTGGGATGTCACCTTTCTGCTTTTTGGGCCCAGTTTTAAGAGGGACCTTGCTTTGGGGGCATTGGTGTCATGTTCAGTTGCAAGTCGTTGTTTTTGAAATAGTTAGCCAGCAAAGAGTTAAACGCTGTGCAGGGCGTCATCGGCCAGAGTCGTGCTGTACTCCAGTAGGAAGTCAACAGTTGCTGGTTGGCGTGGTCAAAAGACCCCTTCACTTGGGCATCGGCCAGAGTCGTGCTGTACTCCAGTAGGAAGTCAACAGTTGCTGGTTGGCGTGGTCAAAAGACCCCTTCACTTGGGCTTGGGTCATCGACACCCTTAGGGATTTTGAGAACAACAAATGCAAGTTTTGTGTTGAGGAAACAAAAGTCGCGACCCTACCAGAGGGGTCGCGGTGCAGGCAAAGCTTTGAGGCCTGCCTGCCCATGGCAGCCTGTGCTCGACCGATCCAGAGAGTGGTTCTAATTTCAGCGGATGGATGAGCGTTGCCTACATGCTGGAAGTCTTGCAGTGGCCTGGAGTATGTCCCTCAAGCTTGTTCAGTCTGGATTCGGAAGCAGACCTCGTAAGCAGATGGTGGCGTGTGGCCAGAAAGCCTTGGAGCTGCTTTGCGTGATCAGTCGATGTTTGCTACCGGTTGCCGCGCTAAGGCAACCCTTGTTGCGCGAGTGGGACCCCTAAGATGCGCCTGTTCCAAGATACGGGTGACATCAATCTCGCACTAGACCGTGGGGGCTATTCAGAGGTGAATGTGATCGGGCGTGGGAGGCCGCAATCTCGCACAGAAACCCCCGTCGCTGATAGGCTGAGCGTGAGGTGGCAAGGACCCCTGCTGCGTGCAGTTGGTGTGAAGCCTGATACTGCAGGCCCATCTACAGGCCACTTGCTTTGACCCTTGGCCCGGGGCTGCCTGGCGTAGCATACAGCTTGTCGTCCTGGCCACAACATAGCGGGTTGGCTAGCGCGTCGATTTCTTGAGCTTTTGTGCTCATGTAGAGCTTTGTGGTGGAGTATTGTGTGGCCCTTGGCGTTGCAAAGCGGCGCAATCATCCCCGAATGCTCCTATGTTTGCAGACCAGTGCTGGGTGTGTTTGTACGATCCCTTGCAAAACGCAGCGTTCAGGCTTCGCCGCCATTGGTGTGCGCCATGGGCTTTGCAGGTAAGCCTTCAACCTTGGATTTGCCATCGCCCGGGATCTTACCCGTTCCCAGAGATGTTCAGTGGCCCCCTTTGGCCGTTTTTAACGCGCTCTTCACTGTTCTTGGCAGGTGTCTGTCTCGAAGTTAGGGGACCATCTCAAGGGGGCGGTTTTCCTTGTGGCGCCACCCCACAGAATGACACCACCAAGTTTTGCGTTGCTCTTCGAGTGCTGCTCATTTTCAGCCGCAAAGAGCAATCCTTTTCGGGCCATGTCGGAAAGCGTTGGTTTCCTACCAGAGTGAGTAACTCCAAGAAACAGAGCAGGGAAGGGAAAATGCGGAGAACATGAAAGCATGCGAAACCAAGGAAGACCAGGGACACCAGAACAAAGGAAAGCCTAGGAAAAACCATGAACAACCATGAAAAAACGGGCAGGACTATGGCTTTACCTCTACGCCGTGGCGGCTCACGGCGCAACCCCAGGCAACGCTTGTTTGACTGTTGGGGTTCTGTTGCCCAACCAGGGGCCACACGAGGGATTTAGAGGCACTGAAGGACCCTGATGTTGGCCATGAAAAGGTCCCTGACTTGACGTGCGAAGGGAAAACATGATGTTGGTGTTGGGCAAACTCCCGAAATAATTGGTTCAATCCGCACCCTTGTATCAGAAGAAAATGAACAAATGATGTTTGTTTCCCATAGACCTGGCCGCCTTTTGGCCCAAGCTCATTCACAAGCCGGGAGCCAGGAATCCCCAAAGAGACAGGAGCAGGTCTGGGGACTATCCTTGCGGGACACTTTGAACATCTGCCTTGCTCAAAGCGCGATTTGCCATCAAGGCCCTTTATTTGGTAGCCAATTTGTGCTTTTAAATTGGAAAGCTTGCAGGTAGGTATGCGTTCAGGACTTGGTTGAACATATTATGGATTCAACTAGTATCAGCTCGATACCCATTTGCCCGTAGTATCCTGTTACAATTTTGTTGGATAAGCTGAGGTCTCTTAAAGCCACGCCGCTCGTAAAGTGTAGCGAAAATCCTGTCGACCCCCACATGAATCATGGTGGAGGAATACGGGGGCTGGCCTTAAAGTAAGAGATCCCCTCTCAAATTGGACCCCCCTCTCATGAATCAACCACGGGTTTGTTAATCAATATTAATCCTGGGTTTCTGCTACATGTACTCCACTGCTTCCCTTGAAAAAAAGAAACAGTTGCCCAAAAGGACACCTGGCAGATGAGAAAACCCTGCTCAGAGGCCTACTTAGCAGGAGGAAGTGAACCACTGGGCTTTTCCTGTGAGACCGGAAGCCACCACCAAGTTCCCTTCAGTTGGGGGCTGGTGGAAATGAGGCCACAGGAGGCAGACAGAAGCTTCGGCTTTAGGCTAAAACTACTTTCTGTGCCGCAGGGGCCCCGTTTAACGCCCACGTGCTCAGGTTGTTTAAAGGGAAACTACCTGGCATGTTTGTTTGTTTCCAGGGGACTTAAGCAAATGGATGTGTAGGTGATCTTTGGTATCACTTAGAGACTTTCCAGGGGCGAATGCGCGGGGAAGGGGGCCCTTGCCACAAAGGGGTAATTTCAAGCATTGCAGCATTACAAGCATCCGCGGCAAGGCAGATAGGGTGTGTGTTTTGGAGAGAGCCATTTCGGTTGCTTGAAAGGAAACCAAAAGTGCAACCACATATCTTGTGGGTCTCTATTTTGAGCCATACCCTTTGGTCCACTATCACGAAACCCAGGAAGTTCGCTTTAAAGGAAAATGGCCTTCCAGACCCGCCCTGCAGCGTTGCCATTTGCCAGGAAAACGACCCTGCAGCGGATCAAGATCGCCGGGTGCCGGACCAAAGAGCCCATGGAAAGATCATAAGGCCAGGCGTTCCAGGTACCTTTTTGGCAAGACCATGTTGGTCGTAAACGAACAGCCTGGCGTTTTGTTGGCCGATCTAGGGTTCCGTTGAGGGGTATTTGTTTGGCATCTTTTGGGATTTGACATGGAATTCAGGTACAGCTCTGTTGGAAGGGTATTTGTCTTGGGAGGAGGTGCTTGAAGTTACTCTTTGGGGGAGGTCCGCAAATCAGTGGTGGAATGGATTTCATGTTGGCCATCCATGTTCATGGGACAGCTACCCTATTTTGTTATCAGTTCACGCACACTTGGGGGTCACCTGAGCTGCTGGAAGGGTGACTCGTGTGGGAAACTTGCTTGGAGGTTGCGCGGAAGAAGTGGGATTGAACTGCCACAAGAGACTTCCCCAGTAGCGCGGAAAAGGAGTTCGTGCCTCTAGAAAACTCACTCCGGCAAGCCGACCGAATTATGCAAATTACACCCCTTCCACAAATCAATGGATTGGTAAGTAGCCAATATTTGTTTAGTTTTGCATAAGGGGAAACCAAAAGTGGTTGAATATGTTTGTTTAAGTCCCAGTATAGGTAGGTACCCCAGTGCAACAGGAGTTGATGTTTGATCGAAGACTCAGGGGACTCTGCTCTGGAGACTTTGAAAAGTAGTTGCCTGGAAGGTCCCCCCCCAAAGCAAAGAGGATCCGTTTCCAACTCTGTCCCTGCATGTGGGTAAAAAACAACAAAGCCGCCAGCGTTGGCACCGTTTTCACCCACGAAGGCCTTGGGGATTCCATATCTGAGGTGTGTGACATGTGAATGATTTATTTGCTGAAAATCGATCTGTTAGACTTTCGTTTTCTGTCAGGTCTGCAGGTCCAAAACAGGCAAGTGAAGAGGGTGGAGGGGGGGTAATAGTTATATGGGTGTTGTTGGTTGGAGTGTACCCATCCTGGATTGACTTGACTTACCTAAGTTGGCCAACCGTTGTTTCTGTTGGCTGGTCTTCGTCATTTTCATCAAGGATCATCATGATCATATGTTTTTCCTCCCCGGGTGCAGGCTTGTTGATGGGAGTTCTAGGTAGGTACAGGGGGGGCTGAGGCAAGAAGAAAGCACTTGTTTCAACATTCCAAGGGTCTATGTCTCCCTGTTTGGGTGGCTTTTAAGCATCTCCTTTTTTGGTTTCCTGTCAAGACAGAGTTATATTTTTGGTTTTGGGATGCTTTGGGGCTCTGTGCGATAGGTTGAACACATCGAGAGTCTGATGTTCCCAAGGCGAAGAACGTGGACGCGGAAGTGGAAGAGGTGAGCTACTTGCAAGGCGCCGTGTCGGCGTGCGAAAGACTTCAGCCGACTAGAGACAACCACGCCGACCTATGCACAGCGCCCAGAAACCAAGTTGCTTCCCAATGTTCTAGACTTCTTATTTGTCGGAAAGGCCACTTTGGTGGCAAAATCAATTCATACTTCTAATCTAGTTGTTTGACTCAGCTTCCTCAGGAAGTGAGATATGTGGTTTCTTGCACCTGTCACTTTCCCTCCGTCAGGGGTTCCGGTGGATCAACTCCGTGCCCGGAGCCGAGTTGCTCGCTTGCTCTGCGCTGTTGACGCCGAGGTTTGGGACGAATCCCTGAGGTATCCTCAGTTCTTGGATGTTCATTTTAGTGTTAAAGAACGAGTTGTTGTTTTTTTTGCTGCAAGTCCGCTCAGGAAGTGCGAAGGATGGCGTCTACGCATTGCTGGCTAAATTGCACCACAAGTGTCGGTTGCCCCTAAAGGAACCCCTCACCTTCGGGGAAAGCCCAGTGCTCAACCAAGGCGAACAAGGCTTGCAGCTTGTCCTGCTTGTGCGCTCTTTTCCATCCCTGCCAGGTGAACTGCTCCCTGAAGTACCGTAATTTATCTTCAAACAGGTAGCCCTTTTTCTCCGGGCCTGGGGACCCTGAGCCGGTTTCCTGGGCAGAAACGAACAGGCGAGATGGAAGTCAAAACATGAAATGGTCCCAGGGGCTTTTTGGGTCCAAAGGAGCATTCTATGGACTAAAACGAACCAGAATCTTTATTTGTCGGAGCCCACTGTGAGTGCCCAGTTGTTGACTGGGTGCCTTCAAATCCCTTTTGCCTTTTGTTGTTTCTCACTCAAAAATATGAACTTCAAAAGGAACTGGGTGCTTCTCACACAAGTAGGGACCCCAGCTCCAGGTCGCTTTTCTTTAGGTCACCCCTGTCACACCACCCCAAACCCCAATCCTTTTCTTCCAAACAAGCGGGTTGACCGCCGAGCTTTTGTCGATTGAGGGACGGCTGCAACAGAAGTGGGACATGTCCAAGCGCGCTCCAGGTGGGAGCTTCGGTGATTTGTCTCTGGCCAGGGTGTCCTGTTCTTGGTAGTCGAAGCCATCCGGTTCCTTAGCTTTGTAGACGTTTTTGGATTGGTTGGTGTGGTTGCACTTTTGGCAGGCGAGCTGAGGACAGCCCAGTGTTGGTTTAACGAAAAACAAAACGTCCACCATCAAGAAATCCCATTAAAGTTTTTCTCTCTAAATCCCCTTTTGTTCGGGGACCCTCCGGATTGGTGGTTGTCCTTTTGCTTTCCCTTTCGGGCGCCCAAAAAAGAACCACACATGTACCCAATAGCCTGGCATCCGCCGCAATGTGTGGCTTACGGAAGAAAGACTTAACGCCCCTGACCCAATAGTGGAGTTGGGTTTTGGGAAGGGGGTTCATCCGCTTGAAAGTAGGGTTACCAACCATTTAGCTTACCCGGAAACAAGCCAAGCATGGGTGTGGGGATTCGCAAGGGTGTTGTCTTGTCGTTTGTGTGGCAGTTCCTCCTGTTTTATATGTCGAGCTCACCGATTCGGGGTAAAGCAAGCTCACACATAATTTTGATTAAGCCCTTACTCGGTGGATCCCTTATTTCGGGCCTTGGAGTCAGTTGGAGTTCAAAGTCGCAGACCGGCAAATGTCGCACTTGCCCCTATCATTCGCGCGCTTAGATTGAGGGAGGGGGATTGGTGGGCACTTGGTTGATTTAGCCTGTCACTTGCAAAGTGAATCCACCTGAGCTTACCTGCTTTGTAGCATGCTGTTTGGTGTATGTTTAGTCACCTCACTCCCTGAGTTCCTCGACTTCATACTTTTGTTTTGATTCTTTGGCCAAGTCAACTCACTGGGACAGTGAGTTAATGTATTTGTTTGGCTTATTTGATCACTTTTGGTCCGCAGATGGTCAGTGAGTGCAACCGGAGGGTATGGAAAGGGACAGCAGGCGGTCGTCCACAGACGGTTTGGGGGAAGACGCCTTTCCATGGATTGACAGAACCTAAGGAAGCTCAACTCCCGGGCATCACACAAGGGAATTGTTGATGCTATTCAAGGGGGGGCACCTCCCCCAAGTCCACTTTGGTGTGGTTGCCATTTTCACCTTAAGGGACACCAATGGGAGAACCGCCCTTGTCGGGCTCCCCTTTTATGACCAGAGAAACCCCCACCTGCCAGGAATGGTTGACTTTGAGGCACTCCCAATCGGAAGGCAAAACCTCTCGAACAGCTTGGTCGGCTTCCCTGGAGCACCCTGGAGCTCCTGGAGACCCCCCCCCCCCAAATCTCCATTTGACGCATGTTTAGCGGCTTAGCGACGTGTCTCGCGTTCAGGCGCCACCTCGTACCGCTTCGACCTCTCGGCCACTGCGCAGGTCACCTCCACGGAGGCTGCGTAGCAAGAGTGATCCTTCCCAGCCTCAAGCAGGGGTCCCTCGAGTTTCCTGAGTTGGACCTCCAAAAGTGGCAGTTTGAGTGGAACATACCAGCAAATTGCAACTTGTGTGACCCTTACTTAGTAGAACCCTGGTTAATTTCTCCACGTTTACACCAGGTGAATAAACCCTGGTTGGTTGATTGGGGGGCCGTTTAGTTGGGGGGTTGTTAATATGGGGCCAATATTGCCCTAAGCAGAGTTTGGCATTTGAGGACGTCCTTCATCTAAAAAGCCAAAGGTCGTGGCTCAGAATCATGGTTTAAAGGGATACCTTGTCACTGTCATTTGATCAATTTCTCCAAGGCGGTGTGTTTGCATTTTAGCAGCTAGGATGCCCCTCTGACCGAGTACTGTACAGATGGGGGATGATTACGATAGTATTGTATACGCCTGATATCTGCATAATTCTGCATACATTTACACAGCATGTTGTGAACATAGCGAGCTACAGCGCGTTTGATATGCAAACCTAGCGTTCCTCTGCACAACTATTTCTATGTATAATATATATATATATATGTAGATTCATATCATACGCATCAAGAGCTGTTCTCCTGGAATGCAATTTTAGTAACCCAAAGCGCAGACCTTTCTTGGCCAGACCTTTCTTGGCCAACCCACTGGGTGGGTGAGAGCCATGCGGATTCGAGTCCAAAGCCGTGAGGCGCTACGCTCCCGAGCCTTCGAGGGCTACGTGGGGGAGGCAGAGGCCACACTGGCGGCGGAGGACGCGGGTCCGCTTCCGGGTCAGCTGGGCGCATGGCACGCCATTTTACGAATTTCCGGGACGTTTTTGCAGGGAGAAGCGGCGGCACATCCCCAAGAGCACTTAGTTCTCACGATACACCCTTCCATAAGAACATTACCCGTCGTATCTACACACTGTCTATTGTGGAGGGTTGCGAAATCCATTTCGCACCGAGTCAGAAACGGAAGGATTCGATTGACCAACGCAAAATACCAACCAATGGTTTCTAACATGTTTGTTAAATCGTGGTGCGAAGGGATTTCGTCCATCCACAGTAGCAACCATGAGTTTCTGGAGTTTCCTGAAGGAAGCCAAGGGGAATGAATTATTCTGGATTTACTTATGGACCTGCTGAACACTCAAGTTGAGTGGTTTGGGCCAATCCACTCATGGGGGTTGTACCCGTTTTGGAGCTGGTATCCCCTTTTCAGGGTGGCTAAAAGCGGGAAGCAAGCAACAACACATTGAGGTTCCTTATTTGAAAGCAAATCCGTGCTGGCAGCAACTAGTACGTGTATTCCGCTCGCTTGCTCTTGGGTTGGATCTTTAGACTTTAACTTTGTTTGGAAATATTGAGTTTTACCTTGAACCCACAAAAGGTTAAACTCTTTGCAGAGGGGTGTCAACAGCCACCAAGTTCCAATTGGTCCAACTCCATTTCCCTGCCCGCTCTTGCTCATGGCCACTTGGCAGGGTGGCGTCAGGGTTTTAACTTTCGCTCCCCGTTGGGTGTTGGATATCACTACCAGTTTGGATGAGACCCCTTTGGACGAGGGGATGTTTTAGAAGTAATGCAGAGAAACGTACTTGTTGAGAAGTGCCATTTGCTTCATTTCAACTCTGCCGGGTTGGGGTAAGTAGGGTCTTGTGCGGTCGGAGGGTCGCTTGTGAGTGCTCTCTGGGTTCGCTTGTGAGTGCTATCCATATTCGCTTGTGTGTGTGTGTGTGTGTCGTTCTTCGTTGGTTTGTTGGAAAGTGGGAACCTTGGGGCGAAATTCGCAGCAATGAAGCGGCCAGCTTCCTTGAAGCGGCCCGCGGGGCTCAAAAGGCCTGCGGCGGCCAGTGTCGATGTGTCTGTCATTCTTCATCATGGTGTCTCGCTTCTGAAGGGCGTGGAGACTTCAGAGGAGGATGTTCGACAGCGAGTGCGCGATCTGATAGCTCAGAGCCAGGGCCGCTTCATCGAGGTGTCGTTCCAGACTAGGTCCAGGCCAGGACGCGGTGGCGTGGCTTCCAGTGCCTTTGTCATCGCTGATTCTTGGGCGTGTATCAGCTGCGCTTCCGAGTGTTCTGTCCGCGGCTACTCCAGCTACAACAAGCAGACAGGCGAGCTTAAGATCATGAGCACTCCTCTGGATTGGCGGGTTCTCTTGTGCGGGTGGTTGGCGAACCAAATTTGCTTTTGTCCGGCTCAGATCCCGTGGGTGATGTTTTTTCATTGGCCTGATGAGCCGGTCCAAGCTCATTGCAGCTCTTGCGGAGCTTTCTTGTTTTGGCGAGGCAGCTTTTGGTCCGGCCAGGCATGGACAGGAGCCGCGTCGCTATGGGCGGCGCGAGGGTGCTCTCACCGATACGCAGAAGCAGGTGATTCGTGTCTGGCTGAAGGAGAACAAGACCTTTAGAGTGCAATCTTTGATGTCCTACCTCAAGGAGAACTTGCCTGCAGGAGAAGTTGTACGTGAAGCCTCTGTTTCCAATTTTGTGAAGAACTACCGGAGCAGAGTCTGCGAGGAGCTGATGTTTCCATGTGCTGTCAAAAGCTTTCACTTTTTGTGCGGGTCAGAAGCCGCAGACTTTCCAAGATTTGGGTGTGGGTCAAAACCTAGGGTACCCTTTTTCGGGGGTAGTTACCACTCAGTTTTTAGTCTAGTTTAAAGGGGATTTGGATGTTCGCCAGGGGTACAGGGTTTTGACCCACAGCCATTTGAATCCTGCAGGATCACTTGGCCAGTCCGCGCTCAAAGCACCTTTGGACCCGCGCTGACTTCGTGGCAGCTGCCAAGGCCATGCCTACGTTGACAGGCCCGGGTGACAACTGGTGCCTGGCACATTTTGGCCGCCCGCGAAGCATATGCGCCTTGCAAGTTTCAGCATTCTGTTCTTTGTGTTCTTTTTGGCGGGGACTGTTGTGTTCGGCCAGTCGCACTAATTCAAGCATGGCAAGTTTTTTCGTCGGGTGCAAATGTTGCATCTTTGGTTTGGAAAAATGGCGCATCTCAGGCGCTGTGTTTGATCGCCTATCCTGCCCGGAAAGGCTTGCTCTCTGCGCAGACGGGTGTTTTCGTGTGGTGCGCCACGAGGCCGTGCTGCTCTCCATGGGCTTGGTTTTGAAAGATTCTATATTCGGCAAAGCTGGCCACAGCTCGACGTTTGTGGAGTTGGCCTTGGGTTTTTTCCCCACAGAAAGCGAGCGCTCGTATGCAACCTTGGCAACCACTCTGTTCAAAGCTGTGCATTTCTTGCGGGGCATTGACATGGTCCCCCGTGTGCAACAACTGCACGGAGACTTGGCGGATGGATTGGAGGCCTTCAGGAAGAGGCACTTGCCAGATGCTGTGAGGACTGACGGTTCTGGTGTTCAAACTTGAGGATGCTGATCTTGCGTTCCTTCCACCAATCACCAAGGATAGCGTAGCTAGCTGAATTCTCTAAGGCTATTTGCTTTAGAAAGCAATTTAGACGCAACCACGCAGGCTTCTATAAGCAAGTGAAAGGTTTGGGCCTTGATGTGCCCGCGGTCCCAAACTCGATCCGAACATCTGTAGTTTCAAACAAGCAATAGCACATCAACCAATGAGACAAACACGTGTGTTGATTTCATGTTGCCAGATTGCGGGCTATCAAAAAGCAACAGGGATTGTTGAGGGCTTAGTTTTCCCATTCGGTGGCGCATCGCTATTTGGATCCATTGCAACGGAGCACCCCTTCCGATCACAGTATAGATTGGCAGCTGCATCCAGCAGTGTCAGTCCGGGCCCTTCGTGGTAAGCCCCGGCAGCTGTATCCAGCAGTGTAAGTCCAGCCCCGGCAGTTGCATCCAGCAGTTTAAGTCCGGGCCCTTCGTGGTAAGCCCCGGCAGCTGTCCAGCAGTGCAAGTCCGGGCCCTTCGTGGTAAGCCCCGGCAGCTGTGACAAGCAACTTTGTGCAAGGGCGGCCTTGTTCTTCAAGACTTGGAAGACTGCCGTGTGGACTGGTTTTCTTCTTTTGGGGGGAGGGATCAAGGATGCAATTTGGACGGGCTTCGGATGCGTCTTCGGCCCTGCAGGATGGCTGATTTCAGCCATTTGGTTGGGGCTCAGCGACCCAAGGCGCTCATCGGGGGCCAGCCGTCGCCCGCCGTGGCGACCTGGCGGCGGGGCATGTTCTACAACATAGCTCGTGACCTCAGAGACAAGCAGTTGCTTGACACGTTGGTTCAATTTGTGTACGGCACTAGAACATCAACGCGCATGGCCTTCTCAGCTCTGTGGAAGGTTGCCTTGGACTTTCTCAAGCTCCAGTCTGAAAGTGCAGTTCACAAGCTGCTCTTGGATCACTATTTGGAAAACGACTCGCGCGGAGTGTATGAAGCCATATGGAGGAACGCCCCGGACAGGGTGATACCAGGCCTGGGGAGCGGCAGCCAGTGCCAGGAAGCTTGGCATTTCCACCGCCTCCGCCCTTGCCTGCCCAAGCTGAAGGTGCCTTTCTCCGAGGCTGTGCAGGCTTGGTCAAAGAGTCTCCGTTATTTCTAAGGGGTCAGCCAGGGAGCGGGTTTTGGCGGCAACGCGTGTCTTGTTTTCACCAGCGGAGGCTCTGCAGACCTTCTTGGCTACTCGTGCTGATGTCTTCGCGGGCTCCTCAGCGCCGATGCATATGGTGCCCGGCACAGAGTGGGACCGAGAGCTGATCGCAGGACCTGTGTCCCGCTGTGGCTCCGTTGTGGCATCATTAGCTCACAGAAAGCAGCAAGCCATTGGACGGTAGATTTCAAAAAAACTAGCCCCTGTCTGTTTGCACGATGTGGCAGGACCGCACTCGCGCAGTTGGGCGGACTACAGTCACCGAGTACTTAGATCTGGCAGCATATGTCATTTGGGAGGGCGGCGATGGCGATGACAAGTACGTGGCCATGCGGCGGTCTTTGTACTTCACCAATGAGGAGGGCCAGGCTACGCGCCGTGAGAGGCCGCTCGGCCCATTGAACAAAGGGCTGTGCCAAAAGCTTGCTGAGCTTGCTTGTGCGCAGAGTGAAGCTGATGCAGTGCAGCACTTGCATGCTTTGGGGGCTCAGTTTCCCCTGCATAGTGACCCTTTGCAGGCCTTGAGGGCCTTCACTAGATTTGCCATTGTGGGCGTTGGCAAGCGGGCGGAGGCCCTGTGGAAGCAGGAAGGCGCAGCTGCGTCCCCGCCAGCACAGCGCACTCGCGCAGTGTGTTTCTGGTGCTCCCCTTTCGCAATCCGAGGGTGTTGTGAACATACCCTCACGGCCTTGCATGTTTTGAATCTTGAAGACTTTCGGCAGTTCTGCCCGCCGAAGCCGCCTGCCAAAAAAAGTGCTCGGAAGGGGGCCAAGGCAGAGGCTGTCCAGGCCATGGAGAAGCCATCGGGAAAGGCAGTGTTAGAGCCCGCGGGAGCTGAGACCTTGTCGCAGGTGCCGAGCACACCTGTCGACAGTGCTCTTGAGCGCGAGATTGCTCGGTCCATTGCAAGTTACCAGTTCTTCGAGCACATGGCAGTCAAGCGACGTGCCAGCCGATTGCCCCGCGTGTGACATATCTTTCAAGACATTTCAAGATTTCACCTTTTTTCCAGAGCAGAGAAAGAGTGCGCAGCCAAGTGCTGGCATGACGAGTTCAGCGTTCATGCATTGCCGAGAGGACCGCTTCAGCCATTTTCTCAGATGCTATCTGGTTCTTGTTTGCTTGCCCTGGGCTTTGTGATTCTTTTGAGGGTTGCCGGGGTCCAGAAAGCACCTGCCAATCTAGGGCCATTCTGGTCCGTGCGACTGGGGTACCTGGAGGACCTTCACTGGGTCCATAGCGCCGGTTGCATCGAGGGCGCTGATCCATTCCTTGACTTCGTGGTAGAGGTGAGTCAGATCGAGGCCAGGTTTCCTTTAATTTTCAGCGACCTTGAGCAGGCGCTCGACGAGCTAGCTGCAGCCTGGAAAGACACTCTTTTGTCTTTTGGCTTTGGCCACATTCCTGTGGCAGTCATTGCGGCTCAGTACGTGCTGGCTACGCGCGTGTTGCGTCGTGCTATGTTAACAAGACCTGAGACACTGGCAGCGCCTGCTCCAATACCTCCAGCTGAAGACCCACCCGCAGCTCCGCAGTCGCCAGCTTCCGTTGTCAGTGGACTTTGCGAACTGCAGCTCTGGTCGCCTGTGACTGTATCTTCAGCGACGGCCAGCGCCACGCAGGAGCAATGCTTCGTTCGTGTTTGAAATTTTTCCTTGAAGCTCGTTGGAATCCTGGAGTGCTTTTTTTGGTGGCGGTTGTGCCAGGACTCCCAGACTTGCAGCCCCATCAATGGCGCAGAGAGCCCTCACGACTTGTCTCGGAAGCGGAGACGCTTGGGCGAGGCACCTTTGCTGCAGCGGCATCGTCTGGCGGTTGCTGCCGCTGCTGGACAATCTCCAGAAGACGCTGTCCAATTGATGGCTGCAGCAGGGTCCAGCAGGCCTGCCGCAGATGCTTCCGGCTCATCCAGCGCAGAAAGCGTGGCGCCTTTCACTCTGGAGGTGAGCGCTGTACCCAAGGTCATAGTGAGCTCTGCCCCACCACCAAGCCTTCCCGGCGCAGAAGCACATGCCCGCCGAAGAGAGGCCAGCGTGATCTCGCACGAAGTGATCACACGTCAAAGTGCTGGGTGGCACGCAGGAGTGGCATCATGGTCCCAGGAACCCGTCGAGGACCCTTCCGCGTCTGCTGCCCCGAAAGCGAAGGCGCAGCGCCAGCGCCTAGGCTCCAGAAGAGACGCTTTTTTCCCCCTGTTCAAAGCCTCCCCGCCAACTCATATCACCTCAGATGGCGTTGCAAAGCCGTGGTCTTTTGCTTTGGGGCCAACCGTGGTCCAGTTTTCTTTTTTGTTTTAGGGTCCGCTTTTGACTTCATTTTGTTCCCCAAAACCTGCCAGCCAGGTACAAGTGGGGCACCTGTGAGTGTGGCCTTTCAGTGACCCCATGGGTTTACCGCAGTGGAGGAAAAGAAGGTGAGCTCTGGCTTGTATGCCGGGGCTTGTGGAAAAAAACAGCGGAGGACAAACTCGCTGCTGGCTATCCCAAGAGTTTCCAATGAATATGTTTTCCGAGCTGGACGAAGTCCTGAAGAGTCGGTATGGAGATCTGCGGAGCGTTTTACTCCGCAATGCCCGCCGCTTGAGGCAATCTTGACGGGCTTTTTGATGTTTGCGCAGAATAAAAAAAGAGCAGCAGAGTGCCGCCATCATGACAGTATGCACAAGTACCAGTTCTATTTGGGCAACCTGAGTATTGCCTTGCGCGAGTGCTTTTGACCCACCACCCCGGCCCCACCCATCCAACCATACCTCTTCGTGCCGAGCGTGTGCTAACTACCCCCCCCCCCCCACCCCCACACCCCCCACCCACCCACCCACCCACTTATCTCGCCATGTGTGCTTATTGCCCTTCCCCCCCCCCACCCCCACCCTCTCACCCCTGCCTCTCCCCCGCATTGCTAGGCTGCACTGACAAGTGATCTGGCCCAAAAACGCGGCCCCCGCCGTACAACAGACACATGGCACACATAGAAAGCATGCAGCCGGAGCATCAGCGCTACCATGACGCACGCGCCAGTGAGCCACCCAAAGCCTCCCAAAGTGCTGCGCCTGTCAGTCCAATGGGCCTTGTGCACTCGCAAGTGATCATGAGAGGGTCTCAAATTTTGAAAAAACGTGCGCGCGCGCGCAAGTGAACCTTAACAGCACGCGTAAGTGATCCACCTGCCTCTTGGGCTGCCGAAAAGATATCTTTCCTTCTTCTAGCGAGCCTTGGCCGAAACTCCTTGGTATACAGCACGAAAGGCTTGCGCACTCACTTTTCCAATCCGTGTTTTTTCCCGTTTTGGGGTGTGTTTATATCAGTCCAGGTGTTCAATCGGATCTCCTTTGAGCTCCCGGCCCTCCGGGGCCGACGGAGGAGCTAAGCCGGCGGCAGCTGGCGGGCCGCGTGCGGCTGCGCGTGGAGTGCCGGGTGGCAGGGAATTTGGTGGGCCGCAGCCCACCCATGGCGCTCTGCGTCTTGTCGCAAAAAGCAGCTGGGCAGCTGGGGGAACCCGTTTTTTAGGTTCGCGTTTTTGTTTGGGTGGGAAAAGGTGTATCCTTTTTGGTTAGGTCTTAAGGGGAAACCGAAAGGAAACCAAGCATATCTTCCTCTTTTTTTTTGCGGGGGGGGGAAGGAGCCTCAAAACAAGGCTGTTTCCTTTTGATTGGTTGGTTTGGTGAGAAATAGATGGACACTGGTTTTAGATGGTGCTTGTTTAATTTGCTAGGGAAACCCATCGATTTTACCAAAAGGACCACCTATGAGGGCTCTTAAACAAGTTCTTCTGGGATCCATTTCTAAGTTGCTCCATTTGAAACGTTCGGTGTCCATGGTGCTCTCTAAATGGTAAGTTTTTCTAGTTGGCTACAGACATCAGCCCATGAGTCTTAAGGCAAACTTAATATTGAGTTCCTTTGGCGTGATGTTAGGGCCCCAACTCTTAGCTAGGGTCAAAGGTGTAAGAAGACTTCCAGATTTCCCTTTAGGTCTTCCACTTTTGCCCTCGTTTCCTGTTGAGCGTATTAAAGTTTTCCCTGTTCAAAGTTTTCCTTCGAAGGGTTCCCTGCTGAAGGTTCAGTTTTCACACATGTTCCTTCTGGCTTGCTTTTTGTGCAGATGTGTCTTGAGGATGTGTCCATTAAATTCAGGCTTGTCTTGAGGATATGTCCATTAAAATCAGGCTTCTAGCACACCCTGGAAGAAGAAATGACGAAATAACAAACTAAGAATAGAAAAGGAAAGAAGGAAGGAATAAACAAAGAACGCAAAAGGAAAGAAAGACAGAAGAAAGAAAGACAGAACGGAAGAAAGACAGAAAGACAAAGACAGAAAAACAGAAAAAACATGACATAAAGAAGCAACGGCGGAAAGATAGGCGGAAGGAAGGAAGGGAGGAAGCGAGCAAGGGAGGAAGGGAGGAAGGGAGGAAGCGAGCAAGGGAGGAAGGGAGGAAGGGAGGAAGGGAGGAAGGGAGGAAGGGAGGAAGGGAGGAAGGGAGGGAGGGAGGAAGGGAGGGAGGGAGGAAGGGAGGAAGGGAGGAAGGGAGGAAGGAAACAAGCAAAGAAAGACAGACAGAAAGACGTGATGAGAGAAATAGAGAGAGAGAGAGAGAGAAATGCAGAGAGAAAGAACAAAAGAAAGAAGGAAGCAAAGAACGACAGACAGAAAGAAAGGCAGAAAGACAGAAATCACGATAGGAAGAAGAGAAAGAGATAAAAACAGAAAGAGATGAGCAAACAAAGGAAAGACAGAAAGACTGAAAGAAGGAAAGAAAGAAAGAAAGAAAGAAAGAAAGAAAGAAAGAAAGAAAGAAAGAAAGAAAGAAAGAACGAAAGAAAGAAAGAAAAAAGAACGAAAGAAAAATAAAGAAAGAAAGAAAGAATGAAACAAATGAATAAACAATAAACATATCACTATACTTTCTGCATTTGTAAGACTTCCACCGCCGGCTTTGCCGACCCTGCCGGTACTTTGGAAAAGACAATCTTGCTGGTGCTCAGTACCCTTTTTTTGACACACAGGGCATGGCATAGTTTCCTACACCTTTAACTCAGACGGCTTGGCCAGCTGTTGGCTGACCTTGCCTCTGCCAAACTTGACTGCTTTACATAGCACACAGCAGTAGTAGTAGTAGTGTAGGAGGAGGGAATGTGGGAATGAAACCATGGGTCCCCTTAAAGGAAATGATAGGGGATGGTTTTTCTCGGAGTCATTCCAACTCATTCGAGGCTGGGACACCGGGGGCACAGCTTCGGCGGTGACCCTGCTGGAGGAGGCGGCCAATTTGTTTCCTCCCCAACCTGGTTTCGAGATCAAGCCACGAGGTAGCATGGAATTCACAGAAGCAGGTTTGCGGTTGAAGAACCCGTAAAACCCGTGGTGAAGTTTGGCAGGGACATTTTGAACCAGACATGGGTGCAAGCTTCCGCCCGTTTTCTGGGAAGACCACCTTGATTCTGTTTAATATAAGGCCCAGACAGAAACTCCAAGCGTTTGTGGTCCACTCGAAACACATTCCTTGGGCGTTCATTTGCGAGATCCCCTTTGTGAAATGGATTGGGGGGAGGAAGTGGCCCTGGAATTGCATATGCTAATTAGTGGGCTGGATTTTTGACCTCAACAGTAGCTTGTTGGAAACATGGCTATTTTGCCACTGATCGGTCAACTACGAAACTTTTGGGCAGGCGGTAATAAGCATCAACAAAAAGCACCGTTTTCCCTGACCCCAATCCTCAGCTACCAGGCACTTCAGGGTCAACTTTACAAATAATCCGTATATGAGTGTGAATTAATAGGCTCTTCAGTTTCATCAGAATTCGGCGGGCAATTGTTGCTCATTTCGGATAAGGCCATGACTTGTCCGGGCCACTGAGGAACGACATATTTCCAGTGATGTTCCCTCTGAATGCAACTGGAAAAGTCAAGCAGAAACTCCTGAGGCAAAATGCAAGTAGAAGAGCCACTGGTGATATCCAAACTTACTCCCGGAATAATAAGCTCCTGGTTCGTGTTCAACATTTTTATTTGGCAGCCTACCAGTTAAATCCATTTGCCCATTGACATGAAGGCACCTGCCATCTAATACGCTCCCATCAACCAACATGATGATGCAGCAACCAACTAAAGTATATAACAACATGCAGCTACAACTCAATCAGCCGACCATCAATAAGTTTGGTCAGTTAGGTCAGGGATATCGACAGGGTTCAAGGCCGAGGATCTTGCAAAGCTTGTTTGGAACCCTCTCTGGACATCATCAAACAAGGGTCGGTCTTAGGGCTTTGGCTTAGAGTGACATGCTCAAACTCCCCCGACCGGCTGTGTTTATATTGCGGGGGAACCGATTTTGTGAACACTCCCAAGAGTGCTTACTTCAGGTACCCGATGGGATATGCTCATTCGAAGAATGCAACAGCCAGGGTTATCCTGAAGCAAACTGAGACTCGGACGGGAACCCTAGCTTCTCCTTATCGCGCCCAATTTTGACCAAATATGAGAGCCCTTGAGGCAGGGAGTGCCAATGGCTTTTTCCATGTCACCTTGGTGAAAATGGGAGTGTGGTTTTTTGAGTGTACCCCATTTTTGTGGTTTTAGCAAAACGCCAGAAGGACAACCAAAGCCATTTTTTAGGGGTTCCTTACAAACAAGCACACGCAAATGGTCCTGGTTTGGACAAGGTCCCTCTAGGGGCCCCGCACACGAGAGGCGGGGAATCCTCGTCCTGCCCACAGCCCGGGGCTCAGAGTCGAGGCAGTCAACCCAGACGTGTGGATCCGCCTTGTTCAACCCCCATTTAGAAAAGGTTGGCAAAAATTGTGCAGATGAAACAAGCCCATGGTTTCAACGGTGGTTTGAATAACATCTCCCGAATTTAGCTCATGAAACTCCTTAGGCTGTTTAAAATCCCTTTTCTATGGTGGTTTTTCAGGGTGTTGCTTTGGGTGAAAGCCCCCTTAAGTTGAGCCATGAGTTGGTTTTCTCGTGGGTGAATCAGAACCGATTCAGGATATCTGGCCTTTGGATTCTTCATGGCTTTGGATCGACCACTTAGCACCAGGAGGGTGATTCTGGTGGCCTGCAAAACAAGAGGGGTATGTTTTGCCAGAATCACTGGAAAGCTGGGACATAGCACGCAAATAATCAAAGGGGCTGAAGAGAGAGGGTTGTTTGCTGCCCTTTGGTGAGACGGGTTACACCCTCTTTTTGCAAGAAGCAATCATCACACGATACTGTCATCCATTTGAAGCCCACTGAAGCAACCTCAAACGTGTGTCAGAACCTTCCCCCTCCCCCCCCCCCCCCCGCCCCACCAGAAAAAAACCGTTTGTTATACAAGGGGAGAGTGCATCTATTGTTACCCTCGTGTGCCCATGTTTTTTGAGAACCATTTTTTCCCCACTCCCCTCCCCCCCCCCCACAAAAAGAAGGAAAGGAAAAGGAAAAAAACCTTTCCTCTCCCGTTCAAAGAAAAGAACAAGACAAGAACACAAACAACAACAAAAATAATAAAACAACAAAAGCTCTTTTTCCAAGGGCCCGCTACCCACTGGCAAAAGATGCCCAGAGCTCTACCCTGAGGCTTTAACCTGGCGGTGCACGTCATGCCGCAGCACTTGGCCCTCGCAGTCTACGTGTCAGCGGGAGGCAGCTGGGTATTTGGCGGTAGAACGAGCTTACCTAAGGTTGGCGAGGTATAGTAGTGATCGCAAATACTTTACCAGGCTCCACCCGCCTCCCTTTTGCCCTTTTGGGTCTCCTAGATGTGCACTTGACCTGTGTGCAGGGGGTACGAGTCTGGAAAAGTAAAGTGGGGCCAAAGGGAATTTTGTTTTTGGTTCCCCTTTGAGCCAACCGTGAAAAGGCACCCCACACCTCACACCCATTGGTTCCCCAAAAATACCACCTGCAAGAGAAGCTCATGGGCCAAATAGGTGATGATACTTACTGAGCCAAAAGCCAAGATTAGTGGGCTCTACGAAATACGAAATGGTTGGTGTGCCTTGAAACCACGTGCAAAACGGGGTAGGTGTAATTAGGTGACCTGTGTCATGCCTTGCGTCTTTTCCAGAGGATCGGCTGAAATTTGTTCAGTTTAGCAGTCCTTCCCATGGTTTTTAGCAGTCCCTCCTTGGTTTTGGGGAGCCTCCTATCTCAAATCAGAAGACCGACCCCTTTTTCATCATGCCGACACTGGTTTCCCCAAGAGGCAAGTTGTTGTCCACAGCCCTGCCGGCACTCGATGGTTACCCAGGGCTTCCTTCAGCAACTCCAAAGATCGGCCGCCCGAAAGAACGAGGAATCCTACAAGCCCGGAGTTCCATTCAGAGTTGGCGTGGGCTAAATTTCTGTTGGCCTTTCACCTTTTGGGTTGTTCTTTTATGAGTTTCAATGGTTGGCTTTAAACCTGTCCAGGTTGATGTCCTTTCCTTGGGGGAAACAAGTCCAAGTCCCTTTTCCCTTTTTCCCTGTCGCACTTTCGATGATGCCAGGCTGGTCGCGCTGGCACCCGACCAAGGAAGCCGCTAGCCCGAGAGCTTCGCACGTCGGGATGGCTAGCAACTCACTTCCCGAGTTCTTGAACTTTAGTCGCTTTTGGGGAAGATCAGTTTAATGGTGAACAAAAGCTTGGACTTTTTCTGGGCCATCTACTCAGGAAGTGAGACAAGCCTAACTCCACTGAGCGGGGGGCTCATAAGCAGGTTGTAGCTTAAGTGACCAACTTACTTGGCGGATCGAGCACCCGAGTCCAGGTTCACTCTGGACCATCAGGTTTGTTTTGATTTGGCATGAACAAGGTTGCCATCCGAAGCAAAGGTATATAAGCGAAGCTACTACTAAACCAAGCCTTGCGGGGCGCCGTGGAAGTGGACATTTGGGTAGGATAGTCTTCCAAGGCCTGTTTGCTGACGGCGCAGACCTCCAGCCTCTCTTTAACAACCTTTGGTGTTTCTTCATTTTTGTTTATTGGGTGTGTGGGGCGTGAGCTTTCTGGAGTTGTCCTGTAAAAACATCAGAAGCAAGTGCCTGCTTGAAAAGTCATTGGGATCCGCGGCAAACTTGACCCGTCGTTTTGCCCTGCAGCCCCCCCAAAAAAGGAAGCCCGACAGGAGATTCCTAGTTTACATGGATGGGTCTGTTAGGTTCGATATTGATCTGCGGTGTATAGGTTTAGGATGTGCCCAAAGGGGCCGCGCCTTGGTTGTTTGAGACAACAGTTCTCCTCCTTCCAGGTTTGCTCATCTGACTTTCCCTGGGGCCAAGGTGTTTTTAGGGTGTTCCAATCCTCGCAAGGGGCTGTTCAAGACCAGTTTCTGCGTTTGGCCCAATGTATGTCAGTGGGAATTCCCATCGTTTGGTCCGCATGAAACTGCTGACTCCTGGTTGACGGTCAGTCCAACCGGGCGAACCGGTGTACGGAAATCCGCAGCCAGCTAGGTTTCACTTTGGGCAAGGGATTCAGAAACAGCACGCGATTCATGATTTGGGTGTTCAGGGCCAACAGTAGGTGGTAAATTGGTTGAAGGACAGCAAAAATCCTAAAAGGTCCCATTGGAAGCACGCAAAGGCCACCTTGAAAAGGTGCTGGGTTCGGAATCAGGGGTTCGCCACCGAAACGGATATTCATTGGTGAAGTGCCCTTGGTCAGCCGAGTTACCTCTTGTTTGGCAGTTTGACCAAGACCCACCTCACAGGTCCCCATGGAGTTGTGAGCCTTGCCCAAGGCGAATCCACTTGTTTTGTTTTCATTTTTCCGGTTGCCCTGTTCGGCCTTTTTGCCATGAAGCCAAGGTTACAGTCACCCAGGTTTTCTGCTGCTTGGGTGGGCTTTCTCTTGCTCTCTGAGCTGTGAACCAAAAAGTTGGTTTTAAGGATCCCCACTGGGCAAGCACTACACCAGATGGCTTGCTCAGGTGGAAGTAGAGCTCCCCTCCCTCGGCAAAGTGCTGCTTGGCAAAAAGAGTCTTAACATTAGGGGCTAAGTAAGCTGCTCAAAGGGGCAGGGTAGTAATCATGGTTATATCCCACAACAGCCATGGTTATAAGCCTCCTAATTTTGCTACAACCAGGTCCAAGCACTAAACAACTGATTGCTGAGTTGCTCAAGAGTACAAGATGAGTTCAGCCTCTGGCAGTGGTTTCCCCTTTCGGAATACGGAGCTCCAGGGATCGCCCCGTGTTGAAGCCAGGCTCACGGCTGGTGGGTTTCCACGGTGCCCCCCTCCCTACCCGTGACTCCTTCAGTCGCCGAGCTTTTCACAAGGTTTCATACAACTCCCTGAATGAACCTGAAGCCCACACCACCATGTAAAGAGGAGTTCTCCTTTGGAGAAGCTTTGGGGTCCTTCCGCGAACGTGGCAAAGAAGCAACTGGAGCACCGGCACCCACCGGTGGGGGTCCAATGTGAAGGCGGCAAGTCAATTATCATCAATACGCCCGCAGGTGAAAAGCGTGGGTTGACGCTGGAAGCAGTGCAAAGTCTCGTCTATGTTGGGCGCGCGGTGCGCGCTGCGCCGCAGCTATACATGTGTCCCAAGCCCACGACTGTCTAAAAACAGCCGGATGCGACCACCTGTAGAGGTGAGCCAGAGCACAAACTGCGTCCAAACAACACCCGGGTTCGCACTGCTTTGCCCGCAGGAGTACCAATCCGGTAGCAGTAACGTCTACCACCCAGCAGCGCGCTTTGGCAAAACAAGAAACCATGCTGGGCAGCGGGCCCAAGAAACAAGATAGCGAATTGGGGGGGGATGTCTAAAATCCATTCTTCCTACTGCACTTTGGATATGTTGTGCAGCATCTTTCCGCCGCCCAGCGTGAAACGCGCCGAACCACAGACGAATTACCAAAGCCAACGGCTGCTTGACCATCAACAAAAAACATGTCGCCCCTTGTTTATTTGCTGTCTCTAGCAAGCGTGGCCAGAACGGCGGAGCAAGTTGCTTTGTCAGTGGCCGCAGCGACGCCCACCACGCTGCGTTGCCGCACAGATTTACTAAAAGATGTCAAACACAATGCGACATGACCATAGGTGTCCTTTGTCGTTTTGCCAGAAAAAATACATGGCCCTGGTTTACCAGCTGGTTCAATCATCTACCAGGGCCATCTATTTCCCCTAAAAGGACACCTATGGACATGACGCAAACGTTTGGCTGAAAGAGGCAGGCCTTCCACAGCGCGAGCAGACACACCCCTCGCCTGGCAGTTGTTCCTTGCCCGCGTTGCAAGGACTCACGCAGCTACGCTGGAGCAACGCCTTCTGTTTGGACAAGGCCGGGCTCACACAAGCGCTTCAGCGCCTGCTTCATGTGTAGCGCTGGAGTATGTGTGGCTAAGGGGTTCATCCGAAGTGTTGCAATTACTTATGCCAACCAATGTCAGGCTGAAACGAAGCTACCATAGGACCATAGCAGTAATTTTCTCAGAGCTGTGTCCTTGTCAGCTTCGCTCAAGATGCAACCCAACAAGCTGCGCCTCAGACGGAGGTAAAGAGTACCGCCTGGGCTGCCGGTTGACTGGGAAACCAATACGGACCACAACAACGAGAAGAAGAAAAGACAAAGACAAACAACAACAACAACAACAACAACAACAACAACAACAACAACAACAACAACAACAACAACAACAACAACAACAACAACAACAACAACAACAACAACGACAACGACAACGACAACGACAACGACAACGACAACGACAACGACAACGACAACGACAACGACAACGACAACGACAACGACAACGACAACGACAACGACAACGACAACGACAACGACAACGACAACGACAACGACAACGACAACGACAACGACAACGACAACGACAACGACAACGACAACGACAACGACAACGACAACGACAACGACAACGACAACGACAACGACAACGACAAGAACAAGAACAAGAACAAGAACAAGAACAAGAACAAGAACAAGAACAAGAACAAGAACAAGAACAAGAACAAGAACAAGAACAAGAACAAGAACAAGAAGAAGAAGAAGAAGAAGAACAACAACAACAACAACAACCAACAACCAACAACCAACAACCAACAACCAACAACAACAACAACAACAACAACAACAACAACAACAACAACAACAACAACAACAACAACAACAACAACAACAACGGTCCGACCGGTCGTCTGGCCGCGAACACCAACGCCCCGCCCCTTGACAAGGAGCTTTTGCACTGCAAAAACCAATGCATTCTAACATCGCTGAATCCAAAGCAGGAGATTTCTCAGGACGCTATTTTACACAAAAACGGCGTCCCAAACACTACAGTTCCACACGAACACACTTTGCATGTTGCAAGAAAAACACAGTTCCAAAGCAGAGAAGACCAACTACATATGTAAAAAACCATGTAAAGTCCAAACAGTGTATACATATATATATATACCCTCAAACTTTAGCAACTCAATATACATAATGTCATGTAAAATCCAAATAGTCCATACACAGATATATACCCTCAAACTTTAGCAACTCGATATAAATAAAGTCATCTAAAATCCAAATAGCCTTTATATATATACACCCCAAAACTTTACCAACTACATATATATAAAGCCATATCAAATCCACATGGTCTATAGTGCCTGGCATGGATACAGTGGTGAGCGGGTGCGCTTGAACGTATACAGTGCTAAGCGGGTGCACTTGAACGGGTGTTCTTACCATGTGCCTGGCATGGATACAGTGCTAAGCGGGTGCACTTGAACGAGTGTTCTTACCATGTGCCTGGCATGGATACAGTGCTGAGCGGGTGCACTTGACCGGGTGTTCTTACCATGTGCCTGGCATGGATACAGTGCTGAGCGGGTGCACTTGAACGGGTGTTCTTACCATGTTCCTGGCATGGATACAGTGCTGAGCGGGTGCACTTGAACGGGTGTTCTTACCATTTGGCAGGCATGGATACAGTGCTGAGCGGGTGCACTTGAACGGGTGTTCTTACCATGTGCCTGGCATGGATACAGTGCTGAGCGGGTGCACTTCAACGGGTGTTCTTACCATGTGCCTGGCATGGATACAGTGCTGAGCGGGTGCACTTGAACGGGTGTTCTTACCATGTGCCTGGCATGGATACAGTGCTAAGCGGGTGCACTTGAACGAGTGTTCTTACCATGTGCCTGGCATGGATACAGTGCTGAGCTGGTGCATTTGAACGGGTGTTCTTACCATGTGCCTGGCATGGATACAGTGCTGAGCGGGTGCAATTGAACGGGTGTTCTTACCATGTTCCTGTTATGGATACAGTGCTGAGCGGGTGCACTTGAACGGGTGTTCTTACCATGTGCCTGGCATGGATACAGCGCTAAGCGGGTGCACTTGAACGGGTGTTCTTACCAAGTGCCTGGCATGGATACAGTGCTGAGCGGGTGCACTTGAACGGGTGTTCTTACCATGTGCCTGGCATGGATACAGTGCTGAGCGGGTGCACTTGAACGGGTGTTCTTATCATGTGCCTGGCATGGATACAGTGCTAAGCGGGTGCACTTGAACGGGTGTTCTTACCATTTGGCAGGCATGGATACAGTGCTGAGCGGGTGCACTTGAACGGGTGTTCTTACCATGTGCCTGGCATGGATACAGTGCTGAGCGGGTGCACTTCAACGGGTGTTCTTACCATGTGCCTGGCATGGATACAGTACTGCCTCGATCTGTCGCGTTTTGCAGCGCTTTTTGAGCGGGGAACCAATTGTGCATGGTATTTACGGTGAATTGTGGGCGTTTCCGGTCTGTGCGCGGCGCTGCCTCGATCTGTCGCGTTTTGCAGTGTTTTTCAAGCAGAAAAGCAAGTTTGCATGGTATTAACAGTGAATTCGGAACGGGTCAAGCGCGGCTCCACGGCCGGTCTGAGGGAACAACAACAACAACAACAACAAGAAACAAGAAACAAGAAACAAGAAACAAACAACAAACAACAAACAACAAACAACAAACAACAAACAACAAACAGCAAACAGCAAACAGCAAACACCAAACAACAAACAACAAACAACAAACAACAAACAACAAACAACAAACAACAAACAACAAACAACAAACAACAATCAACAAGCAACAAGCAACAAGCCACAAGCCACAAGCCACAAGCAACAAGCAACAAGCAACAAACAACAAGCAACAAGCAACAAACAACAAGCAACAAGCAACAAGCAACAAGCAACAAGCAACAAGCAACAAGCAACAAGCAACAAACAACAAACACAGCAACAGCAACAGCAACAACAACAACAACCAACAACCAACCAACAACCAACAACCAACAACCACAACAACCACAACAACCACAACAACCACAACAACCACAACAACCACAACAACCACAACAACAACAAGCAACAAGCAACAAGCAACAAGCAACAAGCAACAACCAACAACCAACAACCAACAACCAACCAACAACCACAACAACCACAACAACCACAACAACAAGAACAAGAACAAGAACAAGAACAACAACAACAACAACAACAACAACAACAACAACAACAACAACAACAACAACAACAACAACAACAAC